AAGCTGATATCCAGGCATTTCAGAAATGAAATGCTGAGCCCAAGGGATTTCTAGAAGAAAATGAAAAAAAGAATTAACCAGTGTCAAATGTGGACATCTTCAAAGGGAAGAGGATCATTTAAAGTCACTCACTTTTTACTTACTGAAATATGGTCTGCATATTTTATTGTTTCTATCATCTTGCTTGTTACAGCCCAGCCAGTGAATGTTCAAAGAACATAAAGTCCTACAAATAAATAAACTGTGAATATGAAGGAAGATACAAAAAGGCAACAATTAAGATCAAACACTTGACACGTAAGCTTTATGTGAGCAATTATGTTTCCCAGTGGTTTTCTGGCAAAGTGTCATTTATTCAAGATAGCTGTACAGCAGGAAATAGGAAAGTTGTAAGCATCGCTACACACTGTGAGTATTTAGGAAAACATATCTGAATGGCCCAGGCATTGTGGAGGTGTTTGCTCTTGTTTTCAGTTATTTCTGCTTACAAGTGTCAAATATGACTGCTTGGACTAGCTAAGAGAGCTGTGCATTGGGTTACGTTTTGTGGGATGTAATTTCTCACATAAGATGTGCCTTTTATGCAAGGAAAATTGAAATTCTTGCCATCAAGCCAAATGTAGAAGCGCATGACATCACATACACCTCATTTTTCATGTGGAAAAAAAGTTCGGAGGCCAATTCTAAGCTTATTTGAACTGTATACAAGAATGTACTGTCACAAACATATTTGAAAACTAGCTTAGAGAATATATACAAGGGATTTGACACAGGTAAGGTCTATGATTTCAGTGGAAAGGCTGTTGATCTTGTGACAGGACATGAGTCTAAACTCCACTGTGCATGGGTATCATATTAGCTGTGTGACCTTGTGCATCTAATTTAATCTTTCTGAGACTCAGTTTCTTTATCTGTAAAATGAGGTGGTTGGGACTAGATTACCAGCTCAATGATTCAATAATCATTATGGAAAATACAGAATTGGAACTCCTTCCACCAAGGAGACAGAGCACAACTAATCTACAGTAGAATCATAGATCTAGTGTTGAAAGGCAACATACATACATATATATAGACACACACGTGTGTGTATGTAATCTTTAATGTATATAATCTTTAAGTATATAACTTGAGTTGGGCATCAAACATTTAAGTCTGTATTAAGCATTTATTATGTTCCAGGCATTCTGCTAAGAGCCAAGAGTGGAGAGAAAGGTAAAAACCAGTCCCTGTCCTCAGGGAGCTTATATTCTAAGGGAGAAGACAACATGTACATGAAAGGGGGAAGGGAGAAAGGGAACAAGCTGTGCCTACCTAGTATGTCCCAGGCACCGTTCTAATGCTTTGCAATGGTTTATTCATAAATAGGTACATATAACTGGGTACATAAAAAGTATATAGAGTAGATGAAGGTTATCTGAAGGTATCATTTGCCAGTGGCCACGAATTCAGTGAGTGCTTATTACATGCTAAGTAGTAGGAAATACAAAGGCAAAAATGAAGCAGCCCTTGTCATGAAGCTTGAGCTAAGGTATAACATAAGGATGCTCAGGACAGTATTCATTAACGAATTCTGTTCTATTTTGTTCAATAGTAACTTGAATTAACACTAAAATTTAGGAATTTAGAGCTAGAAGAGGTGACCTTACAAGTCACCTAATCCAATCCTTTCATAAGTGACTTACTAAGGTCACACAAGCAGTGAGTAGCAGGGCCATGATTTGACTCCAGGCCCTTAAGAGAGTCAAATGGCCCAGGAATCTGATCCCATAAGAGTAATATATTCAGTTCTAAGTGTATATTTTTGGAAGGGTATCAAGTAGCTGGAGAACATACAAAGGAACATGACCTGGATGGTGAAGGGCTTCAAACCAAATCCCTGAAGAACTGAGGATGTTTAGCCTGCAGGAGAGAAGACTTATGGTTGACATGATAGCTGTCTTTGAGCATGGAAAGACTGTCATGTTAAATGATTAGATTTAGGCAAGATAGCATGATGTAATGGGAAGAATGCTAGACTGAAACTTAGTTGGGGCCTGGATTCAAATCCAGACTTTGACATGTACATGTGCAAATCACTTAAATTCTTTGAGTCTCAGTTTCTCTATCTGCAGAGTGAAGAATGATACCCACAGTGCTATAATTCACAGGGGTGTTTCGTTGTTATTGTTGTTAGTCTCAAATGAGATATTGTATATTAAGAACTTTGCAAATGTTATAGCACCATGTGACTGTTAGCTATTGCTGTTAGCCCAGAAGAGAAGAACTAGGCATAAGTAGCGGTAGTTGCAGAGTGATAGATATTAGGCTCGATGGAAGAAAAAAACTTCCTAGTATTTTGAGCTGTCTCTTAGATAATAGAATAGTGAGGAGGTTCCCCTAACTGGAGATCTTCCAACCACAACTGAATGGTCACTTGATGGGTAAAGGAAATCTTGTTTTGCTATTGGTCTCTGAGATCTTTTTCAACTCCGAGATTCATTGTATCTGAGTCCAGACTTCTTTCCACTGCCCTGTTTTTGCCCACAGAAACTGAATTACATAAAAGTGTAGCAGAAAAAATTAAGATCTCTTGGAAGAATTTTTTGAGTTATAGTGGCGATTGGGGAAATTCACTGAATAATCATCAGATTGTTTTGAAGATTCTTTTGAAGAAGCTGAGACAGGACCTGTGAGAGCAGTTTTTTAAGATTGATTTCTTGATACCTGTTTTATCAATTTCAAAAAACCAAAATTTTTCTCAACAAAATTAGGGCTGGGAAGGAAAGATGATTTACAGTTTGATATACCAGGAGCTCACCCATGCTCACAAGTGCCCAACAAACAATGAGGCCCAAACTCATTACATTCTTTGGAGGTAGGTTACTTGTTATGCTCCCCGCCCCCCAATCAATTCCTAAGGCTTGTCATTGTTTTCCTACATAACATCTCTAGTATATGTCTTCTCTCCTCTGATAGAACTACCACCCTGGTGCAGGTACTCAGCACCTCACACCTGAACTATTGTAATAGACGGTTGATTGGTCTCCCTGACTCAAGTCTTTACCCATCTGGTCCATCCTTCACTCAGCTGTCAAGTTGATCTTCCAAAGTGCAAGGCTGACCATATCTCAACCTAACCCTATTCTATTCGGTAAACTCCAGCAGCTCCCTGTCACCTCTAAGATCAAATATAAAATCCTCTATTTGTCTTCGAAAGCCCACCATAATCTGGTTCTTTCTTAATATTCCAGTCTTCTTGCACCTTTCTCCTCTCCACGGACCCTGTGATGCAGGGACACTCATCTCTGCAATTCCTTGCATAAGGCTCCTGACTCTAGACAGTTTCTATGCCTAGAATTAACTATCTGCCTCCTAATCTCTGCCTTTTGGCTTCCCGGGCTTCCTTCAAGTCTCAGCTACAGACCTGCCCTGTGCAAAGAAGCCTTTCTCAGTCTTCCTTAATCGTAGTGCCTTACGTCTGAGATTGTCTCCTATTTTTCCTGGATATATCTTGTTTGCTCATAGTTTACATATCGTCTTCCCAAATAGATTGTGAAGTCCTTGTGGGATTGAATTGTTTGTTTTTTTATTTTTTATTTTTGCATTTCTTTTTTGCAATCATTGCTTAGCATAGTGCCTGGCACATAGTAAAGGCTTTATAAATGCTTGTTGACTTGATGTGACTTGAGGGAAAGGCAGGGAAGAGAAGCTGTCTTATTCATGTTCTGTTTAGCACAGAGAGTATAATGGGCAGCAAATTAAGTCAGCAACCTAACACATTATCCAAATATAAATAAAAATAAATTTGTGCTTTTTTGGGGGGGGGGACTCTGGATAAATGATTTCATTAGTATGGTGAATGCCCTAAGAGGAAACTCCCCTCTACCAATGCAGAGAGGCAACTCTTCTGTAATTTACAGTTGCCTGGGGACACTGAGAGGTGAGGGGTCTTGTCCACAAAAACATTGGTGTCAGAACAGGACTTCAACACAGCTTTTCCTGACTCTGAGCCTGTCTCTTTGTCTAGAATGCCACATTGCAAATAATCACTTATATTTTTGGGACATCTCAAATCTGGGATTTCCATGATTCAGAACAACTGTTCTATAGTTTTTTGTCTTAGAGTTGCCTGGCACTGAAGGGTTAAGTGATTTCCACAGGATTAGACAGCCATTAGAAAATGTCTAGACAAGAGATGAATATGATCTACTATGCTTCATACAGTTTACCCAGGAGTTATGGCTATACTTACAAAGAGAAAACAGGCCCCAATCATGGCTGCTTTGATTTTCACATCGAGATCTGCAGGAACGTGTATTCCAAAATTGTCAGCATTTGTGAAGACGTCATTTACAAATCCTGACCAATACTTTGAAATCTTCCCAATAGTTATCTTTTCATTAATTGTTTTCACCTGTGGAAATCAAGTTAAATTTTTAAAAAATAAGAATAAGGAAATCAAAAGCCATTTGGAAACTTTAAAAAAAAACTTTTCTGTGATAAATTAGGATTGTGTAATCTTAGGATCTTATTACTCAGAGAGAGAAAATCAAGACAAAAGAAGGAAGCAATATGGCAGAGTGGAAGGATACTATGAAGCCAAGACCACCTGTCACTGTCTCGATTTCCTCATTTATGATATAAGAGGATTGGGTATATTATTTCTCAAGTACTTTCTACCTAAAAAAAATTATGAAAAGAACCTATATCTTTTTTTCGTCCTCCCATTTATCCATTAGCATAGAGTACCTACGCCTTATAAAGATTTACAAAGTGATTATTCTATTAAGTTCATAAAGTACTTGTCAGTAAGAAACGTGAATCCTTTTTGCTTGTGTGACACTGTTCATTTTAGTCCTCAGTAACAACTTCAGTTTATGGAGCTGAATTAGGTAGGTAGTTAGCCTGTAAAGTGAGCAAAGCATAATGCCCTGGGGTTAGCAAATTTAGCAGCCCAGCCCTTTGATCTTGTTCTTTTCAGAGCTCCTTGTTGTTGACTCAACATTTATTCACCTGAACTTTATTTAGCTCAAGCCCTTCTGGATGACCATTGTCAACCTCCAGGTAGGACAACGTGCCCCAGAAAATGTACGAGTGTCAACCCCTCAGGTCATTGACTGATTTCTGGTTCTTCTAATCTCTGACTTCTTGTACTTACAGACCCACTACTTCTGTTCTTATACTATTCATAGAAACCCATCCCTTGAGGGCAAGTCCCTTAATGGCAGAGTCTGACTGGAGAGAATACATGACACACAGTTTCTTGGAAATATTTGGGTTTTAGAATGAAGTTTTGAATGAATTTTTCATTTTTTATATTTTTGGCCATGGCTAAAGGGTGGCATGTTGTTTGTCATCCCCCTTTACCTGTTGGTTTAATATTAATTTGTTATTCATCCCTCAAAAACTTGATCTTGAAATTTGACAAGAAGTACCCGGTCCAACCTATCAATTATGTACTTAGCCTGATTCCTTTTTTAGTCACATATTTTCTATTAAAATTATATATATATGTATATATATATAATACATATATGTATGTATTATATATAATTTTATTAAACTGCAGAAAAAGCAATAAAGAATATAGTAGTTGTCTTTAGAGCAAGTTTTAAAAGAAATAATTACCTATATATAACTTTTTATTATGTTATTTGCAGTTCTAAAATATCCACTATTTCTAGACCTTAAGTGTTATTGATGACCATTGGTCCCATCTTTATCCCTAGACTTTGACTAAAATAATGTTACTTATTTATTCATCCTAAATCCCGTCTTTGAGATAGATCCATATTTTGGGGGTAGACGCATGATTTCAGACCTTGAGACTAGCTTGTCATGCAGAAACCCTAGTAGCTACACCCAGGTTCAAGCCAGGTTGTCATCAGATGTGCTTTACACTAAACATAGATTCTAGCTAAGGGTAGGTACTTCAGCTTAAGCAACCATTCATTGGCTTGTTCTCTTTCTCAGGTTGTTGCTGAAGTCTGGTTTTCATCATTCTTCTTTTCCACATGACAGAAAAGAAAGTGAATTGGTCCTATAAGAACAATGTTGTGATACTAAAGATCAGAATGAATGAGGCTTGTGATGAAACTTAGAAAATCAAAATCGAATGTGTGTGTGCGTGTGTGTGTTTTAAGGTATGTTGAGGTAAAGAGGAAGATCAAAGAAAGGTTATGATCTTTTCTTGTTTTGGAGAGAATGGTGATAACAGATGATGGAAAGCAGAGTTTTTCAACTCCTATTTTGCATATGTTTAAAAGCCAGGGAGAATGATTTTTCAGCCAAGAAAACAGCACAAAAGAGTAAATGGGTACCTGAAATACAAGGTAAGGGAGGAGATGATGCGAGTGTACCTAGTTGCTCTCAATTAGTTTAAATCACCAGGTCAAAATGATTCAGTTTAAAAAGAAAACCCACTGCTCTAATTGCGGCTCTTTTTTTGTGATTTTTGGGGAAAGTGTGAAGAATAGGAGAAGTACTGCAAGATTAGAACAAACAAAAATTCTTATTTTCACATATCATCTTACTTATTACAGGTCAATAAGGTTGACTTTGTTTCTTGGCAACATCTTAGAATGTATTACAAAAGGAATGATGTGTGAGCAGAAAGCAAAGAGGCAAGAGGAGTTCGTCAAAAGAAGACCGAATTCAAATAACCTCATTTCCTTTTTTGACAGGGTTAGAGGCTCAGGGTAAAGCCATAGACATAGTGTACTTGGATTTCAGCAAAGAATTTGATGGCTCTTCAGAGCCTTACAACATGCATGGTAGTACAGTTAGAAGGAGTTGCTATTGGTTGAATGATCTGCCCAAGGATGATTATTACTAGATTGGTATCAACCTAGAAGGGGACCTCCAATAGAGTGTCACAGAGTTCTGCCTTCAGCCCTATGTTTTTCAGACATAGTAGTCCATCAATCAACAAGCATTTATTAAGCATTTAGTATGTTCCAGACCCTGTGCTAGCAGGTGATACAAAGACAAAAGTGAAACATGTTCTATCCTTAAAGAGCTTATTTTCTATTAAATGTCGTCATCATCATAATGATAATAATGCCCAGCATTTACACATCTAAAGCGCTTTATATGTACTGTCTCATTTGATCTTCACAGCAATCCTCTGAGGTAGATGCTGTTTTTCAGATAAGGAAACTGAGGCTGGGTGGCTAAATGACTTTCCCAAGGTGTTATCACTGGGAAGTACATCTGAGGCAGGATTCAAACTCAAGTTTTACTGATGCTAAGTCCAGAATTCTATCCACTCAACTACCTATCACACGGGAGGCATATCAATTTTGCAAGGATATAAAAGAGAGAAAATAGCTAATATCTTGGATGAAATAAGAATCAAAAAAAATCTCAATAGGCTAGAAACTAATAAGATGAAACTTAAAGAAGATTTTAAGTATGCTTAGGTTTTAAAAAGTATACTTTAATAGCCGGCATTTATATATCACTTTAAATTTACAAAGAACTTTGTATACATTATTGCTTTTTATCCTTACCACAACTCCATAAGGCAGGCACCACATATTTGATTATCTTCAAATTACAGTTTTAGAAATTGTGTCTCAAAGAGATTGGCATGGTCTCATGACTAAGTACTGGATGACTTATGGTTCAGATTCAATACTCTCTTGACTCTAAGCACAAGACTCTTTTATACTATATCACATTGTACAAGTGTGATCCAGGATCTAACACAGTAGTAAGTTTATCAGTAGTCAATATAAAATGACAGCAGCAGTAAGACTGCAAAATGGAACCTAAAAGCCACATACAAACCTATAAAAATAAGACCTCAAAACCCTGCCCCAGCCCACTGCAGCCCTCTTCCATCTCCGTTGGGGCCACCTGCTGAGTGCTCCAGATTCTAATCCAGTTATGTGAATGATTATCTGTGCCTCTCCCCATCTTCTTCCCCTGCTGCCTACTTTCTTTCTCCATTCCATTTCTGTCCCCATGCTGTCTGCCTTTGTACTCCTTGCTTTTCTCACTTGTCCATACTTTCTCTGCCATTTGCACCTATACCTTCTGTGCCTTATTAAACTGTGATTGCAGTCCCATTTCCCAGTGACATCATGGTCTTTCCCAGTGAGTATCCAAAGAAATGGATGTGCCTGCTCCATTTCATAATTTCATAAATTAATTATCAATTCACCTACCTAACAATTTGAGTTGTACAAAAATGGAATCCACCTTCCTCAGGAGACTCCAGGATGTCATCTATTGGAGGTATTCAGTCTGGACTATTGGAGGTATTAAAGTCTGGACTATTTGTGAGTTTCAGGTATGTTGTATAAGGCTTTCATGTATGAGATGGATTAGGTGGATCCTGAGTTTATTCTCTTCCAATCCAGAAATTCTATAATTTTTTTTCTCCCTGCACCTCCCCACCCTAGCCTAAGAAAAAATTGATAACAACTTAGACTTCTAGAAACAACCACTCTATGTTATTTGAATATGAATAGTAAGACTGATTAAAAAATAAACTTGTGAATAATCTTGATTCTAGGATTTCCTATCAACTAAACTTGGCAATTATATTTAAAATACCGGAATACTCACTCAAAGCAAGATTCCTATATAACTTTTTAGAGACATTCATTCCTAACATACATTAGACATTTTTCAAAGTGCTAGCCTCTAAAAGGCTAAATTACAAAGCTGGGATCTAAGATGAACATCCCCCCATCCCCACAAAGAAACATACCTCAAAGTCAACATCTCCAAAACAGCCACATGTTGCATAGGGACCCACAATTTTCAAAATGTCTTCTTTGCTTTCATTTTGAATTGTGAACTTTGGCAGAAAAGGGTCCCATTTCTGTACAACATAACCAACTACTGTACCAGGAGGGGCTTGAATTTCCAACTGGAGAATACACAAGAAGGGAATCAAGTCAATGCTAGGATCAAAATATTTTTTGGTTGTAACATAATGATAATTTAATGTGAAGCATGAGAGTTGTTATGAAATCATGTTTATTCTTCTTTGACACCATTAGCTTCAGGGTAATCAATCAATCAATCAACAGGAATTTATTAAATACCTACTATGTTCCAGGTACTCTGCTAGGCATACAAAGACAAAAAGCTTATATACAAATGTAGTACAAGATTTTTACAAAGGAAATACAAGGTATTGGGATTGAGAGGTTGGAAGATACTAGCTTCTAGGTTTCATGAAGAAAGTAGTGACTAATGAACAAGATTAAACTTTAATTTTCATATATTTCTCTATTGATTTATTCCTGAATATTAAACAGGTTAACCAGGCATGGAGATTTTAATATGAAGTTATTTGCAAAAGGGATATAGAAATACATTTTACCTCCCCTGCTTTAATGCCATGATCTCCAGAACAGTGTATTCCAAATAGAACAACAATAGTGAAACATCAAATGACATAATATACGTAAAGTGTTTTGAAAAGTTTAAGGCACTATATAAATATAAGTAGCTATGAAGTGCCTTGGAAATATTTAGACAGTGATACAAGTACCTTATAAAAATGCTTCCCAAAATGCAATATAATAAACTACATACAGAGTTGGCTTTGCTTAGTTATTTTTTACTATTCTCCCAGAACCTTTTGGACCATGAAAAACAGCACCAGTCTGACAACAACATTCTGGAGGTCACAAGTAAGAACTTTGACACACATCAATTAAGGCTTTGAGTTTCACTACCATCTTTCCAGTGTTACTTAGACAGAATTGATGAGCTGTGGTTATAAATGAATGAGAAGGGCTATATGAAGCAAACAAGTATCATTTGCTAATTAGATTGTAAGCTCTTTGAAGGCAGGAGTTGTCCTTTTTCTCTTTTTGTATCCCCAGTGCTTATACAGTGGCTGGCACATAGTAGGTGCTTAATAAATGTTTATTTATTGATTGAATTATTATCCCAAGATAGAACATGGCAAAATGAAGAGTTAATTCAGATCACCTAGAACCACTATGTATTGAACATTGACTTTTACATTAGGGGAAAAAAATCCAAAGGTTTAACAGCATGTAAGTTCAAGATTTCATTAAGATTATATTTAAACACCAATAGTTTCTGGATATTTTTATTATCTGCAATGATATGACAAATAGAGTGTTCTACAGTTTGCCAATTGAACAAATTCAACAAACTTATTAAATACTTTCTAAATTCAAGGCACAGTGTGGTAGGTACTGGTGATACATTCCATAATCCATGTCCACGCCTTTCCATAAGCTGTTTCCCATGTCTGGAATCCTCTTTCTCCTCACCCCTCTCTTGGAATATTTTAGTCCTTTCAAGGTTCAATTAAAATCCACCTGCTGCATGAGATGTTTTATTTTATCTTTAATGTTAGTACTCCCCCCTATCCTCAAAGTTACTTTGTATGTATTTTGTGTTGCTTGTATTTTATACATTTTGAATTTATTTATTTCTCTTTAGTAGAATGTAAGCTCCTTGAGGGAAGGAACAATTTTGTTTTTATCTAGCAAGGGTCGATGAATAGTAGGTGCTATATAAATTATCATTTAATTTAATTGAAATAGATTAAAAGAAAAGAGCCCTTACCCAGAAGGATCTTGCTTTCAACTAGGGGGAAAAAAAACAAACAAAAACAAACACTTTACCTACATGTTTTCATTTGAGTTTTCATCTAATGTTCCATTTTTTTTTTCAGTTCAAAAATTAAACAATGGATAGGATGTAATGGACCAAAATAACCTCAACCAGCCTGCTTATTTGGGGAAAACATGGATGAGAAACCAGTCATCTCACAATTAAAACACAAAAAAAATTCTTTAAAATGTTAATTTTTAAATGTGTTTACCATGCCAATGGCTATTTCCATCATTCCACAGAGCATCTGAGTGTATTAATGCACACCTAACAAAAAGTAAATTACTAATATTGACATAACCTAAGAAGAGGACAGATGAAAAGTTCTATATATCTGCCAATTTCTTACAAATCAGTGCTGCTCAATCTAATTTGAATGTTGATGTGGAGCCAAAAGAAATACAAGACCAAAGCCACAAATTTTATGCCGGCAAGAAAAATAGAAGAGGCCCTGGTCATCACTGTGAATGTGAAGGAAACGTTTTGACTCAAAGTATAAGGAATCCAGGACAGGCAGTATGATATGGTGTATGGGGTGTTATTGTTCAGTCATTTTCGGTCATGACCTCATTTGGGGTTTTCTTGGCAAAGATACTGGAGCAGTTTGCCATTTCTGTCTCTAGCTCATTTTACAGATGAGAAAATGGAGGCAAACAAGGTTAAGTGACTTGCCCAGGGCCATATAGCTAGTAAGTATCTGAGATCATATTTGAACTTAGGAAGATGAGTCTTTCTGACTACAGGTCTCATGCTCTACCCACTGCACCACCTAGCTGCCCCAGTGGATGGGATGCTGGTCTCAAAACCCAGAAAAGGTACATTCAAATCCAATTCTCTGGCACATGCTGGGTAAATCATTTAGTATCTCAGTACTCTAGGCCACTAATGTCAAGCTCAAATATAAATGGGGGCCACTAATATGGTCTTCATGCTGACTTACAAAAGTACATATGTTTATATGTTTCTTTTTTATTATTAATACATCATGTTAAAATCAGATCAGATTTATATTTTAATTTAGTTAGGCCCAGCAAGTGTGGGCAGCATATGGCCCACCTCCCAAGTATTTGAAACTTCACTTTTAGGCAATACTCTAGGACCATAAACTGCAAGAAGCAAGTGACCTTCATTGCTAGAGGGAATTTCCTGACCTGGAATTTCCTCACCAGTGATATTATAGGGCCTGTGCCTATCCTTATAAGGAATCTATGGTGGAGCAGCTAGGTGGCACAGTGGAAAGAGCACCAGCCCTAGAGTCAGGTGGACCTGAGTTCAAATTCGGCCTCAGACACATGATAATCACTAGCTGTGTGACCCTGGACAAGTCACTTAACCTTAGTTGCCTCACACACACACGTACACACACACAAAAGGAATCTATGGGAAAGTAAAATGATTAGAATGCTTTAAAAAGCAGAATTGGCCAAATGGAAAAGGAGGTACAAAAACTCACTGAAGAAAATAGTTCCTTAAAATTAGAATGGAGCAAATGGAAGCTAATGACTTTATGGGAAATCAAGAAGCAATAAAACGAAACCAAAAAATGAAAAAAAAAATAGAAGACAATGTGAAATATCTCATTGGGAAAAAATGACCTGGAAAATAGATCCAGGAGAGAGAATTTAAAAATTATTGGACTACCTGAAAGCCATGATCAAAGAAAGAGCCTAGACATGATCTTTCAAGAAATTATCGAGGAAAACTGCCTTGATATTCTAGAACCAGAGGGTAAAATTGAAATTTAAAGACTCCACTGATCACCTCCTGAAAGAAATCCCAAAATGAAAACTCCCAGGAATACTATAGCCAAATTCTGGAGTTCCCAGGTAAAGGAGAAAATATTGTAAGCAGCCAGAAAGAAAAAATTCAAGCATGGTGGAGCCATAGTCAGGATAGCACAAGATTTAGCAGTTTCTACATTAAGGGACTGCAA